GTTTAATCGAACCTTTTAGATGGTTTTCATTCAATTGACCGTTAAAAATGTCAAACTTTTGATACAAATACTAAAGTGAGCCTTACTGTAATTAATGAATTATACAAAATAAGTATGAAGAAAAATTAAAAACTATAAGACAAAAAGACAAGGCAACTCATCCTACCCACTAATTCCTGATAAGATCATCTTAAATGTTGCATTGCTTACGACATTTTATAAAATAGAAATCACGTAAAATCCAAACAATAAAAGAGGTTAAGGCTTTGTCAATCTTCACTAGTAGTAAGCTCATTTACTAAATCCCAGCAATAAAATAGGTTCATAACTTATAATCTATTAAATTTTAATTTTATCAAGAAAATATATTGGGAACCTTTTTTAAGTGATTATAAATCATGAACCTCTTTTTGTTGCAATCAAGAAATTTTTTTGTTATGGGTGAGGAAGTTTAATTAAAGAGATTTGTTTTGGTGATGTCGTTAAGGGGAGAGGCATAATATACATGGTGAGACATTCATAATGTAGAAAAGTTGTTTTTTTTTTTCTTTTCGGAGTGGGAATAGATTATTTTATTTTCTACTTATATTCTTCTTGATTCGACAAAATTTCTGCTGCAATGGAAAAAATGAATAGAAGGATTATAGAGTCGATGCACAAAACTAATGGCACCTATTTCTAGGATGTCTCGCCAAAATTTAAACGTTACGGACCAAAAATGTATGAAGCGCAAATGTCAGGGACCATTTGCATCAAAAATCCTTCTATCGACTAAATCATATTTATCAAAATTTTCACTTTGGTCCTTCAATTAGTGAACGAATCAAATTTAGTCCTTAAGTTATCAAATCTTGCATCTATGCCATCCATAAAAATTTAGGAATTACATAATGGAACAGAAATAAGGCAATAAATATTATGTAACCGGTGTTGAACCACCATGTACGAGTTCTTTGTAATATTATATGGACGTCAATAGAATTAGGCTTAGAACCCGTATTTACTCCCGTTTTCGTACATCATATCAAAACTTCACAAATGGAAGTTTTGAATGACATGGTATAGTCTCCCTCAAATCCCTAAAAAACCCTTGGATGAGAGAACTCTAAAAATAAAGAGTGAAAAATAACCAAATAAGAAGAGATGTGAACAGTCTTAAACTGGATGGAAAGATATGACCATTCGGTTCCAATAATCTGCTTTCAACTTAGCGCGCAAATCATTTATTTTGACACTTTTGTTAATTTGCCAATAATTATGCAAGTGATCGTTACATGCATTACCTTTTTGCCCAAATGGTCCCTAAACTATAGAGTTTTCTGTACAAATGGTGTCCATCCTTCAAATCTTGGTGTAGATATCCCTAACCTTTCACTTAATAGGTTTAGTTGAACTTTTTAGATGGTTTTCATTCAATTGACCATTAACAAGGTCAAACTTTTGATAAAAAGACTAAAATGACCTTTACTTTAGTTAAATAAATTAAAGAAAAATTAAAAACTATAAGACAAAAAAAAAAAAAAAGGCAACTCATCCTACCGGCTAATTCCCCATTAGATCATCTCAAATGTTGCATTGCTAAGGGACTTGTATAAAATAAAAATCACATTAAATCCAAACAAGAAAAGGGGTTGAGGCTCCGTCAACCTTCACTTGTGGGTAAGGTCATTTCCTAAATCCCAACAATAAAAGATGTTCATGACTTATAATCACTTAAATTTTAATTTAATTAAAAAAAATGATAGGGAACCTTTTTTAAATGATGATAAACTATGAACCTCTTTTGTTGTAATCAAGAAGAATTTTGTTATGGGTGACGAAGTTTAATTAAAAGCCTATTTGGGAGTGATTTTGAGAATTGATTTTTTGACCGTTAAGAGAAAAATGGGGTCCACCTGTGAGAGAAGAAGTCAAATATGACAGCTGAAATAGTGAAATAACGATCAAAAAATTAATTTTTTGGGACAAAAAATCGCTCCCAAACAAGCTGTAAAGTTTTTTGTTTTACGAGTGATGTTGTTAAGGGAATCGGCATAATATAATACATGGTGACAAACTCATAATTGTTAATGTAGAGAAGTTATTTCTTTCTTTCTGAGTGGAAATAGATTATTATATGCTATTTTTGTCTACACACACATTGAAAATAAAATTAAATGGCACATGGATCTCACAACTCGTGAATGAGTTCAACGGTGGCGTGGTAGTGGTGTATGCTGGTGGCTTGGTGCGGTGTGGGTGCGTGGGGAGTGGGGGGGTGGGTGAATGAATGGAAGAAATTCATTACTGTTTTTATTAAAAAAAAAAAGTTGTTTCTGTCTTTTTTATTTTATTTTCTACTTATATTCCTCCTGGTTCAGCAAATTTTCCCCTGGAATGAGAAAAATAAATAGAAGGATTATAAAGTGTAAGAAACTTAAGATATACCTCTAGCCATGTTATTCAAAATTTAATTGAAAGTTTAAAGTAGAAATGGGTCTTTAAAGCACCAACGATCTTCTAGTCAAAACCCACTTAATAAAACCTTTTAATTTGATGGAATAAAACACAGGACTTTCTTTAGGAGAGAAAATACTACAGGAATTTTGTACCATTCTAGAAATGGGTAGTTTTTTTCTTGCAATAACTCCCTTTCAATAACCAAATGGGAAGTTATCTAGGTAGTTAATTAACCCACTTTAATTTAAAATTGAAATCAAATAATTAAACACGTGGCCAAATCAATAAACGGTTCCAGTTCTCTCACTTAGTCCACATGTTCAACAATAAAACTTAAATTGGGTACTTAATATGGTCGTATGCTGAAACTGCCAATAACCTACTCCAGTAGAAATTCGTAATACTTGAATCATGTCGATCATGTTCCAATAATCAAAACATTTCCTTCCATTATAAGTATGATCACCTCTACAGAGTACTTTAAAGAACTTCCTATAAGTCAGTCGTGGTCCAAACTTTAATAACCACAATGGATATCCAACTTACAAACTTTCAGCGCATTAATAGCATTGTCTTTTTAAAAAAATAAAAAAAATCTTAAAAACGAAACATCAGAGTATCAGTAAAGCACGCAAATCCCATATTCTCAACATAAACTTTATAAACTTTAGCCAGCAAGCCCTTAGTCATGGGATGTGCAATCTAGAAATCCGTCTTGATATGCTCAATGCCCACTTTATTTATTTTTATATATAATCTATGACAAGACAGATTTATTAAATAAGCTTGCATTTCAAGGTAAAAATTTCCGTTAAACTTGATTTAATTCAATGATATAACTCATACGCCAATGTACATTCACAATTGAATCAACAAATACTTGTACTAAATTTTCGATAAAAAAATGTTCATATTAAGATCGGAATAGGATTGTTCTACTGTCATACGAAATTCAAGATCAAGAGATGACAAATTGAACATTTTGATGGAAAATGTAAACGAGTTGTAATAAATGATTTTCAACAGATTTATTTTTAACTGGTACCAAGTTTTATGATCTTCTGTACACAAATTTTTAGTTCAAAATTTAAAATAAAATTATGCTACACATCCAGATTCAAATCCACGAGAGATATGTGTCGATGTATGATTGAACAGTTTGAAAAATTAAAACAAAAATATTAAATTATTTTTCAACACATCAATCTGTTTTTTCACTCCCCTGTTTTTAAGCCATGACAACTGGCTTGTCAGTTTAAAATAAGTGAAATTTGAGTTAGGCTTCTCCTCCCATGTGCCAATCTACTTGGAAAGTGGGCTTTCTGAGCCGACAAATTCAGGCCCACCAATGCCAAAGCAAGTGGCCCTTTTAGGCCTCAAACTAAAACATGCCTAACATTTCTATTGCTTTTGCTAAAATTCGTTACTCTAAAATTATATCTTGTAGAATTATATTGAATATTTACCGATGTATTTTGTATTTTTTTTTTTAAAAAAATCGATCCTCATGTTCGAACGACAATGTCTAAATGTTGAAGTCTATTATTAAGCCAAAAGGTATGTACTTCGTGAAAACAAGTGGGTACCTCAAAGAAACTAGAGGCATCATTTAGGGGAATTTTGGACCACAGGAAAATAATTAAAGACATTTTTATTTTGTTTTTGCAAATATTTTGACCCTAAAATAACGTTTTTAAGTATATAATTATGGTACTATAATTTTCCTTTCTTGGAAAAATTATAAGAAATGCACAGAGTAAGGTCCTTTATACTGTTCATACGAGTGCAAGAAAGTCAAACATTTACGGAAAGTGAATTATCTCCTTTTTTTAAACGTTTAAGCGACTCTAATCTTCAATGAATTTTTCAATTACAAAAAATCGTACGAAAAGATTCCTTTCTAGAATGAATATGTACCATTTTGATGAATTATATGATAAGAAAATTAGAAGTCAATTATCTCATGATTGTCACTTCCTTGGTCACCTTCTGGCCAAACTCAATTCATGGGACCATTCGAGGGGAGGAATCATGGGGCTCATGTCACGATGGCAATTATGTTAGTTTCTTTAAAATTTCACAAGACACAAAAAATATGAAAGTAACAACGCAAGAAATTAGTTTATTTTCTTTACAAATTTAGAGTCGACTACAATAATCATTTGTTGCCACTCCATTTAGTTTATTGCAAAATTTCAATGTAGTGTAACTCAATTCTTTAACACGAGACATATGAAGCAGCAACATCAATAAACTAAGCACATTAATTTAGAGTCGATTATATAAATATTTTTCACCACTCCATCTAGTTTATTGTTGGACTACTAGAAGACTTAAAAGCAACTAGATTTTTTAACTCAATATATATATGCATCAACAACATGACTTAAACCTTTTTCTTAATAAATTTAGAGTCGACTTCATTAATCTTTTTTCGCTCCTTCATTCACCCATTGCTAGCTTATTGAAAGATCTAGGGCAATACATTTTGTCTTTTCTCTTTTGTATTGGAAAAAAAATTACTTATATAGAGTAGAGGCCTCACTTCTTTCAATTTCACAAGTCTTCTTCACCACCTTAGCCACTCCATCCTCGTCCTTTTATTTCACCATTCAATGGAAGAATCCCATAAAGAGTTACAACTACTTTCCACCCCACACACTGCACCTTCCTCATCAGCACGGCCACCGTATTCTTCCAGGAAAATCCGATCAACTGATCGTTTTCAGGGTCCATCAACACTAGACCTTCAACTGTCAATAAGTGTTTCTCCATTTGAACCACCTTCAGAAAGTGTCCTAATAAGAAAAGTTAATCAGAAGTCGATTTCTAGCCGGGTCGAGGCATTGAAATGGCATGCAGCCGAGCAAATTCGCTTAGCAGCAATGGAGGAGGCTTATGCAGAGCGTTTGAGAGAGCATACAAGGAAGGAAATGGAGTTAGCACAGTCTGAATTTGCACGTGCACGTAGCCTGTGGGAGCGTGCTAGGGAAGAGGTCGAGAGAGCTGAGAAAATGAAGGAAACGGCCACTCAACGGTTAGATTCAACAAGCATGGAAATCACTTGCCAATCTTGCAGGCAAATGTTTCAATCTTAAAGTGTATGCTACTTTTATTTTACTTTATAGTTCTAGCGTGATTGGCAACGAACAGTACTTAACAATATTAAGTCTCCTGTTGTGTAGGACATGACATTCGAGTTTTGGGAACTTGGATTTGAACCCATAAGAGGAAGGAGACAACTAAATTGGTTGGATTGGAATTGCAAGTTTCTGTATGATGAGTAGTTTGCTGAATCTTTTATTTTTTGGATTGATTATATTATCAATTTTTAGACAAAACTCATGTTATTACATGTAGAAGAACGAGAAAAATGTACTTCATGGAAGCCTTTTGAGATTTTAATTATTGAATATACCTTTGTTTCTGCACTTTCCCCCCAATTTAGCTAATAAAAGAACTTGACAATAAGCTTGTTCGACCTTCGCTTTACGGGTTTTCTTGATGAATTTCTTTGCACTAAAGAAGATCAAAGAGACATATCCATACCCCTAGAGTTCGTTATTACGTGTGATTTCAGCAGCTCGAAACCCTCTTCGAGGGAGTACTTTAACATGCTTTATATGCAACTACTTCTAGGGAGACTTGAAAACGGCAATCTGATAAGGCCATTTCTATTACAAGACTGGTTTCGCGGAGTCATTCAGTTGGAAAATTGGGTTGCCTTCTAAAAGGAGTTAATTGTATCGACTGCTTTTGAGTCTATATCGTCCGTAAAAAGTTTGCTTTGTGGGCTTAAAAGTACGGTTAAAACTGAAGAAATTAGGTTGAGAATTGACAGACTCTTAACTTCTTATGATACGGCCATGGTCAAGTTCAGAACCTTGCAGAGGTTAAGAAAAGGCAAATGAATCAGAACAAAAAAGCAAAAAAATTCTTTTAGAAGACGACAACATAGTCTGTATATGATTGTATTCAACTTCTTCACTTTATTTCACCGCAAAACCAAACACCCACTATCTATGTCTATGATCTAACACAAACAGAAACATTTTTGGGTAAGATTTGTGTCTTCATAGAAGAATAAATCGACAGCCCATTTGATATGTTTCAAGAAGTGAAGTTTCTAGATTTGCACGAGGACATTACTTTGATAGCATAATCCATTATAGGTCAGCATCAGCATATAGCACTAGTTTGTGTTTGGCAGCATTAAACTGGAGCTTTCTGAATTAAAATTAGAAATGTTTTCCAGCAAATTTAATTTTTTTCTGCTAAGCTTAAAAAGATGCTAAGGTTACTTTTAAGTTATATTGGGTTCCAGGGGACACCCCCGAAAATTGTGTTCGGAATCTATTTCCTGTTTCACCTTGACATCCTCCTCCAAATTAATATTTAGTAGAACAAAAAAATGAAATTGGAGAAGAATAACATCATGAAAAAGAATTTAAGTGGAGAACTCCAAGACGGGGGAAAAATAAAAAAATAAAAAATAATTGTTGTCGTGTACCACATGAGACTATGAAGAATCTCATAGTCTAGCCATCCAAAATTACTATCAACCTTATATAATGTCTACTGATACGATGTATCATACATGCTCTAAATGTCGGGTTCTTCATATAAGAAGACAAAAGGAGGGGCTTTTAGTTTCTTTTCTAATGTGGGATTCTAAACAATTCTATTACAAGTCGGAACTAAAAAAGAAAATCACATTCTATATATGTAGGGGAGAGAAATAAAAATCAAATTCTTATTTTAATTAGGACAATACTAAGTAACATATGTATAAGAAATCCACACCTTGTGCTGGTTGTGAACTTACTACATCCCTCCTCCTTTACCGTAACACTGGCTCTGAAAGCGTAGTCGGATAGGGTGATATTGCAATGGCGTGGGATCTATTGAGAACACAAAACCATATTGTTTATTATATCGAATTACTTGAAATTTGTGAATCACAATTACTTGTCCATCTTTTCTTTGGAAAAATGAATCTCATATATACGTAAAGGGGCATACAAATAAAAAAAAATAAAAATATATATACATATAATTATAAGTAGATTCTTTTATTTCTGACAGTTTAAGTTTTCAGACAATGTTGATCCTGTGCAGGTTTTAAAACAATGGTTACAGTTTTCTTCTTGAGTGCAGAACCAAAAGCAAAATCTGATAGATTCTTTCTTTCTTTCCCTCAATCAATAATTTCACTCATTTGCTTTTGCTTAATATACCAAAGCATAGAAAATAGAAATAACATTTAATACCTTGTCAAACTCAAATTACGTTTCTAAACATCAAGCGCACATTTGATAGGAATGATTAAATAATATTGAATATTTTAAGGAAGAAAATAAGCTATAAATTACAGATAGTTGATGGTAAATGACAGATTTTATATTCTAGTTTCTCTAATACTTATTCTTTATCCAGATAGATACAGCCAATTTCCACAAAATTTTGATAAAGATGAACTTGCAGGGATAAAGATGTAGGACCAGGTTCTATTGAATTATCTTCAGCACATTATTATGACAAATCCTTAAACATTTGCCTTTTCAAATTGTCGTTATGTATTGTACTGTGTGGGTACATTGTTTGAACATTGACATATTGCATCAACAGCTTTAACCATCAAGAAATTTGTTAATTACGATTTCATTCTATTACTAGAGAGAGCAAAGATCCTAAACTCAAGTCTTGTTATTCATTTATGAAAACTGTTCATGTATCATACATTTGATTCATGTACCTTAGTTTTCCAAACTCAAGCTAAGCTCAAGATTGTCCGTTTACCTTCTTTAATGAGTGGTCCAAATCGTTATACATCAATTATTGATTTTATCTTTAACCAATACGAATTTGATCAATCAAATTTATTGTATCTTTTATTCGGAGCCCAATCTCAAAAGCACGAGATCTCCTATCTACTGGGCATTTACAAGTGGATGTTACAATAAACTAATGCATCGTTCACATATTTACATTGAAATCAACATTAGTGACATTTTCCGTAGAAATAGTCTTCTTTAGACAATCATCGAAGATAATATGAAGGACCTCATTTGTGCCATTTATGAAAATAGAATTCGACTTGAGTATGTTGAATATGATGTCTTAAATTTTTATTCGAGGATGTTTAACATGAGTTTAGAGAAAATGCCACTTCCCTTTTAAAGGTGGGAATTAAGCGAGATTTCATTTGTTGTGGGACTCAAAAACTGATAATTTGGAGATATGGGTAACATCGCAACATTTCAGTACAATAAGGGAGAACAAGATGCTTTAATTATTGACAATAATATAGTTAAAATTGATATAAAACGAAAGTGATTTGTGAGTGATTCAAAGTTTTCATTAATAATTGACATCAAGGTGGTGATAGTTGTCCTTGGAAGCGGTCCCCCCATGGCTTACCAGATAAGGAACCATTTGGACATGTGTGTTTTCGTCTCTAAGATACGCGCCAACAAATGCTATCACAATTGTATAATTTTGTTTCGTGCGGGTTAGTCGCTAACAATTAAAAGGGATCAGACGATTGTATAAGGGACAAACCTCTTGAGACAAAGTCCCAAAAAGGGTGTTTTTTTATTGGCGATGACTTTACAATTGGAAATCAAAAACAAAATGCTTTCAAGGGGCGTAAGCACACGAGTTACTAAAAAAAAAGTGTTTAAATCTAAACTAAGGAATTTAAAATTACATGTTCTCTGTTCGAGAGTTTTTTATTCGGTCCCTTTGCTCTATGTCTTTTCTCTCTTTTATACTCCATGGATGATCTCTTTGTGATCAACCGCCTAAAAACTGCTTGATCGTTCTACAACTGTCCACTTTCCTCGTAATGGCCAGCTTGTCATGAAAACTGCCTTTTTAAACTGCTACCATTACTCTTCGTCGTTCAACCATTTTCGATTGAATTCCTTGAATCGTAGAACGTGATAGGGCTGCTTTAATAACTGCTTTGATAACGTATGTTTGCTAAGACCTTGGGCGACTTGAAGGTTTGGGCGAGAATAGAGTAACAGCTCTGGACGACTGCATGACACTCCATTCGCTCAGATTCTGGGCGACTTGCAAACTTGGGCGATGGCGTTACTGCGTTCTTGGGCCTCCCTATTTGGGCCTTCATCTTGAATTGTTTGATTGAGCTTCGTTCTTTGGGCTATCTGATTTGGGGATCCTCTAATTGGGCTTCATTCCTTGGGCCGTTCGATTTAGGCTGAATTTTCATGTGTCAACAATTACCTCCCAATATGGCAGAATTAATACCAATTATTAAATTTTGCCATATTCACTTTGTGTTTCAACAACATTCGAAATTCTCAAGAATTTCAATCATTGTTTTCTTCCATAGTTTGAAAAGGTGCGACGTTTTGCAAACCCTTATAACCCCCAAACACGTCATTTCACTGCACCATTAAATCACGCCTCACTTTTTCGCGTCTCTCCCACGATTTACTGTTCATCTTTTGCTTCCCTGCTACGTAACTCCGAAAAAACTCCGTTTCATTCCTAATGGCTATTTCACAATCTCAAGCTGGCGACTCCTTTAGTTTTGATGACTTTCAGAAACTTCTGAGTCGTCCATACATAACTTCGAGTTTTCTCGCGCCCGTCGATGTCGAACGCAATGAGTTCTACTTAGGTCCTTTCTTCAACAATGCAGAGGCAGTCGAACAGGCGGCGGTGGGCCAGCTGTTTCCTTGTACTCAAGGCCCTCCATTTCTAAACTCTCTGCCGTTGGGGCCACTTCACGAAAGAGGTATTCGCACTTGGCCTAAATCTGATGTAGTTTTCCGTAGGTGGCATGCTCGTCTTGTGGGCCATGGTCCTACTAAGGCACTTTTTGATAATGCTAGGATTTCTAATTTGTTAGAAATCTCTATTCGCCCCCTACTTTTGATTCAGCACTTTTTTCGATTGCTTTGAGTTTTTGGTCTTCCGAGTATAATACCTTTATTTTCCCTCTTGGCCCCATGTCTATTACTTTAAGGGATGTTGGGGCCCTAGTGAATCTACCACCTTTGGGGGATACCATTTTTCCTGGTATCTTGATTTCTGGTGGCGCCCCAAAGTTTGGTAAAAACTATACCGAGTCTTATTCAAGCCTGCAAATCCTTCACAATCATTCAAGCGTTGAACCTTCCCATACTGAGTGAGTGGCTTTTCTTCTAGTTTGGCTTTGTAAATATGTTTTGTGTGTGCCAAGCATAAAGCCCTCCCTGAGTTATTTACCCATAGCGCATGAATTGGCGCGTGGCAAGCCTTTGAATTCATGTTCTTTCTTTTTGACTGCCCTTATAGAGGCATTGCCTCTCTTCAAACTCAATTGAAGAATGGTGCATCTCCCACTGGTAGTGGACCTCTTTGGTTCACTCAACTGTGGTTGAGATCCTATTTTTCATTGCTTGGTGCTCCATC